AGAGAGAGAGATATTTTTATATTTTTTATTTTCTGTTATGTATCAAATGAGTAATACACACATATATATAATTACACTCTAAACAGACTACTAACCGATTTTACTTCTACTATGCTAACTGACAACTAAATTTACTAACTAACATTTCTTCTAGAAGGGTACTACTATAATTACATTTTGTATAACTATGTATTTCAACACTCCCCTTCAAGTTGTAAATGAAAAATATTTTTCATTCCCAACTTGTACAAGAGAAATGTGTGATGCTGGTGCCCCAATGCTTTTGTCAAAGTATCTGCAGGTTCACACTGAGTAGCAATATGAGCTGTTCTGATGATTCCTTTCTGAATTTTTTTTCTAATGAAATGGCAGTCTATTTCTATGTGTTTTGTTCTCTCGTGATACATAGGATTGATTGCAATCTGCAATGTAGCCTTGTTATTACAGTTCAACTCCATAGGCAACCTTAGATTCACTTGTAATTCCTTTAGCAGACCTTTCAACCAAACTAACTCAGCTACTGTATTTGCCATATTTCTGTACTCTACTGCTGCATAGCTTCTTGAGATAGTGTTTTGCTTCTTAGCCTTCCAGAAAATGAGTGAGTTTCCTAGTTTAATGCAGTACCTTGTCACTGACTTTCTTGACATAGAGCATGAAGCCCAATCAGAATCACAAAAGGCATATATTTGTTCTTCACTCTTTCTTAACATTAGCAATTCCAAAGTTGGTTGCTTCTTAATGTACCTTACAACATGCAATGCTGCTCCATAGTATGATCCTTTGGGTGCATACATAAACTGGCTGAGGCACTGAACTGCATATGAAATATCTGGCCTGGTAATTGCGAGGTATAATAGGTTCCCTATTAATCTCTGATAACTCCCCTTTATCTACTAATGCCTCATTATGATTACATGAATTGATGCACCTATCAAACTCTATACTTGTGAGCTTCAGATTCTGTTCCATGGGTGTGTCTTTTGGTCTGGAGCTTGCTAAGCCTATTTCTGAGATCATCACAAGTGCATACTTCCTTTGTGACATTAGTATTCCTTCCTTTGATCTACCAAATTCAATTCCTAGGAAGTATCTTAGTTCTCCAAGGTCCTTCAGTTTGAAGTTCTGCTGAAGTGATGCTTTAGCTTGGTGAATTTCTGTTAAATCATTCCCTATTATCAGGATGTCATCTACATACACAAGCACTCAAACAAACTTGTCTTTGACCAATATGGTGAACAAGGAATAGTCATGTTTCCTTTGTTTAAAACCAACAGTTGTAAGGGCTTGTGTGAGTTTGAGATTCCACTGCCTAGAAGCTTGTTTCAACCCATAGAGGGATTTGAATAGTCTGCACACTTTGGACTCCCCCTTGCTACCAAATCCCTGAGGTAAGGTCATGTAAACCTCTTCATCAAGGTCTTCATTTAGGAAGGCATTGTGCACATCCATTTGGAAGATGTACCAATACTTTAGTGCAACAGTAGCTACAACAATTCTAACAGTGGTGAGTTTTGCTACAGGTAAAAAAGTATCATGGAAGTCTAGCCCTTCCTGTTGTATGTAGCTCTTAGCAACTAGTCTTTCTTTAAACCTTTCCACCGATCCATCAGCATTGTACTTAATCTTATATACCCATTTACACCTAATGAGAACTTTACCAGCAGGTAGATCTACCACTTCCCAAGTATGATTCTCCTATAGAGACTCAATCTCAAGTTTCATTGCTTGAACCCATCTATTATCCTTGGTTGCTTGAGAAAAAGTGGATGGTTAAGAATTAGTAGAGAATGAGGCAAGGAAAGATTGATAGTGTGGAGGTAGATGAGCATAGGATACAAAGTGTTGAATAGGATAGTTGGTGCAATTGAAGGTGGAAGGCAATGGTGGATGGACATAGTCTGTCAACCAAATAGAAAGTTTGGTAGTTCTTCCTGACCTTCTAATAGGAGATGGACTAGAATGAGTGATAGGAGGAGAGGCAGAGGTTGAAGGGGAGGAAATAGCAGCAGTTGCAGTGGATTGTTGTATAGAAGGATCAGCAGATTTATCAGAGGAAGAAGATATAAGAGAAGTATCAGAAGTGTCAATAGGTAGGAAAGCTTGTTGAGGTGAGTGATCAAGTAAGACAATGGTAGGAAAGTCTGTGGATGGTGAGGAATTCAAGTCTACAGCTGCAAGAAATTGGCTTTTAGGAAACTTGAAAGGGAAGACATGTTCTTGAAAGACAACATCTCTGCTGAGAAAGAACTTGCTAGATTCAATGTCATATAGTCTGTAGCCTTTCTGTGTAGATGAGTAACCTCATGAAGATGGCAGGAATGGATTTAGGGGTAAACTTATCATTAAAGTTAGATTTTGTAGCATAATAAACGCACCCAAGAGTTCTCATATGGTCAAGTTTGGGTGGTTGACCATGAAATACTTCATAAGGTGATTGGCCTTTTAATGTTGGACTGGGTAATCTATTATGATGTATGTGGCTGTTAAAATGCAATCACCCCAGAACTTTAATGGTATATGAGCTTGAAACCTTAATGCTCTTCCTATTTCAAGGATATGCCTGTATTTTCTTTTCACCACCTCATTTTGTTATGGGGTGTGGACACAGCTACTTTGGTGGACAATACCTTTGGATTTAAATAAGGTAGAGTATAGAGAATTAAAAAATTCATGCCCATTATCAGACTTGAAAACTTTAACAGAAGCAGAAAATTAATTGTGTATTAACTGCAGAAAGTAAAGAAATACAACATAGACATCACTTTTCAATCTTAGCAGGAATGTCCAGGTCATTCTGGAGTAATCATCAACAAGAATATGGAAGTATCTAAAATCATTGTAAGTGGACACTCTATATGAACCCCATACATCCATATGTACAAGACTAAATGGTGAAGCTACCCTAGATACACTACTAGGAAATGGTAATCTGACTTGTTTGGCTAATGGAAAGATAGGACAAACATTATTGGGTGACTTAGACACATGACCATTTATTGTAAAAATATTTTGTAAAACAACAACTGGGGCATGACCAGTCTTTGATTCCACAAGCCATCAGGATGATTTTGCACTGAAGAAGACATACATTTGGAGGAGAAGGCAGCAACATGTGTGAATGGATTAAGGATGTACATGCCACCTCTGAGTCTACCAATCCCCTTCACCATACCACTGAAGAGGTCCTAAAACAGGCATAAATCAGGATAAAAGTTAACTGAGCATTGCAATTCTCTGGTGTATTTAGAAATAGAGAGGAGATTATACTTAAAGTCATGCACATATTACACATTATGTAGAGTTTGTGTGGGAAGTATAGAGCAAGATCCAGTGTGAGTGATTCTAGTATTGTTTCCATTAGGCAATTGAACACAATTGGGTTTGTAATCTGGTACACTCTTGGGATTTTACAATAAGTTCAAAGATAAGGCCATGTGATTTGAAGCTCCAGAGTCAACAATCCAGAAACCTTGAGTAGTATTAGATATACCTGCCATGTTTGCTTTCTCAGTTGGCTCATTCTCTTTTCTCAGTAATTTGAGAATTTGTCGGTACTTCTCTGAGGTCAACACTGGTACTGTTGGCGTTATTATGATGTTCAAATTTCAAGTTGCATCTCCTTTTATCGTTCTTGCTCACATTGTGAGTTGTAGGCATTTAGTTCTGGTTCTCAAATCCACCTCTTCTTCTGCTGCCAAACCTAAAATTATAGGGGTATCCAATTTGCTTGTAACCATTTTTCCTCTTATGTCCCTTCATGTGACAATAGTCACAGTATAGATTAGTGTTTCTCTTAGGCCTCTTGTTGGTTGCATTAGCTGCAGCTAGGGCACTACTGGCACCTTCCATAGGTCCACTCCCTAGAATTCCACCCTGTGACATTGAAGTCCCAGTCATTCTCTGGCTTTCTTCATGTATGATCATAGAGTATGCCTGATCAAGTGTGAGAGTGGGATTCATCATTAAAATTTGACTCCTTTGAGGTGCGTTTGTGTCATTTAATCCCATCAGGAACTTCATCAGCTTCTATTGGCGTAGGAAATCAACAAACAACCTAGACCTCACACAATTACAACCAGGGAATGATATAATTGACTCGAATTCAGCCTACAGATCATTCAATTTTGAGTAATATATCGACACACTGGAAATTCCCTGCGTTAGACTACTAATATCTCTGTTCATATGATAAAATTTTGTTGCATTTACCTTGTCAAAACGCTCTTTGAAAGCTTCCCACATCTTTTATGCATTAGAGGAATACACTATTCCTTTCCTTAATTCCTGTGCTACAGAGCTCATTATCCATGATTGAACAATGGCATTGCACCTCTCCTGCTGGTGCAATTGAAAGTTATCACTCTAACATATGATCTATCTATAAAACTAATTTTGTTCTTTACAAGCAGCGACATCTTCATCGATCTACTCCACTCCAAGTAATATTCCGTTCCAACCAGCAATTGTGGAACTAGTGCAACACCTGGTGTATCAGAAAAATGCACATAGAGAGGATCATTGCAATCAATCAGTTGCGAGCTTGCATGTGAGGTTCATGTTATGTTCTGAGGCGTATCAATTGTCATTTCTAGGTATTAGTAAGAATTTAGTACGAAATTCAGTAACAGAAAAAATTAGAATGAAAATTGGGGAAATCGAATCTGAGGAGAAAAATATCAGATCTGAGCTTTCTACAAGATTACTGCCACCGGTCGTTGTTAGTCTATCTCTGATACCATGTTAACATGAACATTACGGCAGCAATTAATGAGGTAGAAGCTCGAGGAAGGAGAAGAAGAAGTTGACAGCTAAGAGAGGGTGAGAAAAGCAGTCAAAGAGAGATATTTTTACAATTTTTGTTTTCTATTATGTATCAAATGAGTAATACACACACATATATAATTACACTCTAAGCAGACTACTAACCAACTTTACTTCACTGTGCTAACTGGCAACTAACTTTACTAACTAACATTTCTTCTAGAAGGGTGTTGGTGAAAATACAATTAAAGTTGAAAAATAAAATGAAGAAAATAAAATATCTTCAGGCTGAGGCGCATATCTCGCTCTCTTTAAGGAGATTCAAGCCCACTGTAGCAGAGTCTTCACTGGTCCAGCGATAATTCTCTTGACTTGTCTCCCCCAAGATACAACAGCCCAATCACGTTCGAGTCGTATGACTCGAACAAACTCTGGACAAGTAGTTGAGTCCAAAGCTCCACCAAAATGAATACCTTCTTTCAGCAAATGTAAAAGCTCTCTTCTTCTTTTTTCACAACTTTAACCTCACTTTATTGAAACACTCTACAATTATTTTTCACACCACAATATAGAAGAAAGACTCCTATTTATAGGTGTAGGATTTCTTCCTTGAATTAAATTGGAAGAAAATAGGGTAATAAGTTATGAAATCATGGAGAACATGGTATAATGGTTAATTTATTATGTAATTAGTGGTAGAACATGGGAGAAGAGTTACAAAAGAGTTATGGCCACTTTTACATTATGGAGTAGTGGGAGTTATGACATATTTTATTTTAATAATAAAATGCTATTATACTACCAAAGGGTACTACTATAATTACATGCTGTACAACTATGTATTTCAACACAAATACATATATAGAACAAGTCTTTATCTTTTCTTTATCTTTGGCACAACAAGTAGACACCAGCTGGTTGCTACGACTACTCTTTGGCCTTGATAGTTTCGACCACCTCTTGCTGGTTTATTTCCTGCTAGATTTTCGCATTAGGTTTTGTGCAGTAATGTTCAAAAAGACAAAAATACTGTTCTCGTTTAGTATTATGTAAAGAAGGGAGAAAACTAACTTGCATATGTGGACAAACAGTATACTGCTTGAAGCCACAATATTGTTGAATAGCAGTAAAAACTTGTTTATTCACATGCTCGGCTCTATACCAGCAAACGCAATTTTTGGTAGGGTAAAGACTGAAGGGGTATGACTTGCAGCATTCGGTTATACAGCTTCTATTTGGGTACAACACGCATTTGAAAATCTCATAGCAACCATCATAATTCTCGCTGGGTACAGATAGTGTCCATGGCGATGTGCTACTGTTGCTCGCATCTGCTAATTTCACTTGCTGCTGCTTTACATGTCCATACCAAGTTTTTTAGGAAAAAACTTATCCACATTCAAACATATACGATCAAGTTACTAAATGCATAATAGAATGTATTTGTACGCATGTTTCTTTCACTTTTTTCGGAAAAAAAGAAGAGAGAGAACAAAATATAAAACACATAGGAGGATTAAACCAAAACCCCTATGAGTTGGTAGATCTTGGGAAATATGAGGGCGGGAAAAATCAATTCTTTCTACATTGATAGACTAGGTCCAACACACTAAATTCCTACAAAAATATATCTTTGAATCTAGTAAAGATTGCTCTTTGATTGCACTATTCTTCCGTGGCCGAATATTCCAGTTCTAAATACTTTCACTTGACGATATAATATATTCTCACCTCCCAAGCAGAAGTGAATGAAAATTTTGGAGAGAGTACATATAAAAGTCGATAAGTGCCTAAGTTAAAGGGCAAAATAAGTAACTATGTTGGTGGAAGGTAAAAATTACCCGATCAAATAGTCAAGCTGACCGCCAGAAAATTAGGATTCTTATTTGAATCTATCACTTAACTGAACTAAGTTAACATGATTTGGGGAAAACAAGTGCAAATAAGTATTTTCCGTTTACATTTGCTATAGAACTTTTAAAAGTAATTCTGTAATTGAACTTTTAGAACAACGAGTCCAATTACAACTTTCTTTTAGTTTACCAATAATAGAAGGAAATCATGTACCCAAAAAAAAATTAATTGAAGCAAATTTCCCAAGCTTAATTTTTTTACCTTTTTTTCTCCAACAAAACGATAAACGGGAGGAAAATGGAGTGAGTTGCTCACTCATCAAATTTCATGCATCGATTGTTTTAATTCACTTTAGTTTTAGCAGTTTTATATAAGAGAAGAAAAATAATCAATATTGTTTAGTTTTAAAGGAAGGAACAATATTTTGTGTTTGAGGCATATAACAAGGAAAGAACGAAACATTACAACACACTGAAAAAGAAAAGAAACTTTATACAGTAACAAAATTAGGAGTAACTAATTATATCATGAGTTTACCTCTTCTGCCGTAGCTGACCCGTGATTGCAAAGTACAACTGCAGCCACCATCAAGCTGAGCAGCACCAACCCTCTCCTCATTTTCGCCGTCTCCTTCTTAATTTTCTATCAAAGTTTGTGTTAAAATGTATACTATAGCTAGCTAATACCCCCACCATTATTACAACTTGACATATTATATATTAATTTATATAAGCATGCGTAGAAATTGTGTTAGGAAAATAATGCTTATGATTAATTCAAAAGTTCATAAACAGGAAATGGCGCGTTTCCCTATTTCAGAGATCTGTATATATCTTCCTTGAATTCCGTAGGCCAAGGAAGTGCACATAAGTAGGGGTATCTATGGCTGTCCAACAGGACGGGACGATATTTAGCCGGGACGGGACGAAACGGTAGGTCCATCTCATCCCGTCCCGCTAACAAACGGGATGGGACGGAACGGGACGGGACGGGTTCGTGGGCCTTAAGTGTCGTTTTAAAAAAAAAATTACTTAATCATTGAGTTTGGCAACGGCTATTCTTTTGACAATGACTAAGTTTTTAAAGTTTGCAACACCTAGTTTTTGACTTATTTAATAAACTTAAAAATTAAACGAAAATTAGAAAATTAAGTAAAGAATTATAAAATATTAAAAAAAAAGACTTGTAATGAAATATTCTAGTAATTATAAATTTATAATAGAGTTATAATTTATTTAATACAATTTCAAGCCATTAAGTAACTAAAGAGTGTAAGACAATTCATAAAACAAATTCAACGCTTAAAGCCTTTTATTTTATTAATATAACTTTCAAATCTCACATACAAATATAATTCTTTTGAATAGCACATAATCTATGCAGCCACCTTCTAGGAAGGGTTCTGTTTGAACTAGGCCTCTTAGTAGCCAATTACAAATTATCATACTAATATTTGTAAGCTCATATATAACTTCGTTGTAACTTATTTATAATTTCTCTCGGACATTGTTATGGAATTGGCAATGTTGATTGATGTTCCATGAGTTCCATGCCGTCATAGCTCCCAGTCCTAAGTATCTCATTGTATTCTTCTTCTTCCCTAGTTTCACCCACATGTTGTTTCCATAGATTTATATTTATCAAATATTGATCTAACATAAGAATATATGTTAGTTTGGCAGTCTTCGAGAGATGGTTGTTCATTTTCTTGAATTGCTAAATTCTCATAAATTTTACGAACAAGTCCATTTGCACCTCTTAATTTTAAAGATGGGTTAAGTATAGTAGAAATTAAATAAACTTGGGGAATAGGAAAAAAATACTTTTAAAATTTTGCAATCATTTCATTAATAGCCGGTGCATAAGTTGGATTAATTTTGCAATCATTTCATTAAGCTAGTTGTTGCAGTTGTGTTAGCACTTAGCAGAAGTATTATCTAAGGTGATAGTTAAAACTTTATTGATGAATCCATAAAAATTAATAATTTGTACAACAGTAGTAGCAATAAATGCTCCAGTGTGTTTTGAATCAACAAATTTATAACCAATAATATATTTTTGCATGTTCCAGTGGTGATCAACCCAATGAAATGTAACAGTTAAATAATCACAACCATTAGGACTACGACCTATATCAGATGTGATAGACACTTTACAATCTAAGTGAAAAAATACACAACGAATATACTGAAGATATTCGGTTTGAAATTTAAAAATATCATTTCTAACTATGGTCTTAGGAAAACCTTGAAAAGTAGGATTATAAGCTTCTTGTATATAATGCACAAAAAACAAATAGGACGCGAGACAGGACGGGACAGGCAGGACGGGACGGGACAAACGAGACGGGACAAATGGGACGAAATGGCCATCCCGTCCCATCCCGTGTCACGTTTAATATGGGCCTATCCCGTTTAGAATTAAGTGGGATGGGATCGGGACGGGATAGCGTTATGTTAAAACTATAGTCACTCAAATATGTGTTTGGTGGCATATGTCTCATATTTTGAAAAAATCGGAAGCACTCGAAAATCGACAAAAACCGACATGAATCGAATCGATAAAAAATCGATTTAATTGATTTGGATCGATAAAAAATCGATTTAATTGATTTGGTTTGATTCCAATTAGTCTTCGAATGCGAAACGTCGCGTAATTATTGCATTTTCCTCTATAAAAGCTTCGACCTTTTATACTTCTTTCACTTTCCGATCCTAGCTTTTACCTTCGAATTTTCTAGCGGCTTTTAACTTTTTCAAATCTTCATATCTTCATATTTGTTCTTACATTTCTAACCCAGATCTTCATATCTTCATCCTACCTTCAAACCTTCATACTCTTTTGTTCAATCCTTCATACTTTTTCTTCGAATCTTCATACTTTCCCAGATTACGATGGCTAAAACTTCCAAGTCAGTGCCTCAGAAGGCTGCCCCTTTATCTTCTTACCCGGTCGCAGATGCCGAGGAGGCTGCTCCCGAAGTAGCTCCAGAGCCTCCCATGAAAAGCTTCATATCCGGGGGCTGCTCTATGGGGATGACTTCAAAGTCGAGAAGGCCTCCGCCAAACAAGACCGAGGTGAAAGAGCATGGAGATACATATGCTCTGTTACTAAAGATACCCTTCCCATAGACCGAGATGACTCTAAATGGGAAAGCAAGGACGTGGTTGTCCCCGGGTCTAAGGACGATATTACTATCCATGTGGAGGGGTATTTAAGTGTTTACACTTACCCCTTCACGCTAGTCTCGGTAGACCCAGTAATCCTAGCCTTTTATAAGAGGCACGAGGTGTGCCTCGAGAAAATCCACTCGTCCCTCTAGAGGATCGTGATCCTCTTACGCTATTTTTGTGAACAACACCAAATCTCCTCGGTTCACCCTCGACCACCTACTCCACTCCATTTGTACAATCCTCGAATATTTTGAGGGGGACTAATCAAGCTTATTCGGCGAGCCAGCAAGGCTCCTTTTTCTAGTATCGACGAGGATCGAGATCGAGGTCGGCAGGGGAGTTTTGTTTGGGTAAAAACTGAAGATCTGAACCCTCCCGAGTTCCTTCCATTCCCCAAGAAGTGGAATGCATCTCGTAAGTATAGTCTTTCCTTAAGTGTCAATTTCCCTTTTATTTCTTCTCTCATCACCAGTATTTATGGTCATGCAGCTGTTGCCCGGGTTCCTAATGCGATCCCCCGGCTCAAGGAGTGGATCAAAGGAATTTGCAAGTAGATGTCATACTACGAGCGCACGTGGAACAAACTTTTGAAGGACAAATGGGAGGCTCGTTCTCATGGCAAGGCTCTCCCCTGAATAGTTATTACTACATCTCAAACTTACATAATGATGACTTTTTCCTTTTCCTCCTAGGTTTGCCTAAGACCACCGAACTTAGGCTACTGGACGGGGATGAGGATTCGTCCTTGCCTAAGACCCCAAGCGCAAGAGGACGGTTATTCTCACAGTCCCGAAGGATGCCTGGATCATGTCTACTCCGGTAGGTGTAACCAGCTACCTCCGATGCCTGGAGACCGAGGAGGACCATGCAAAGATGAATGAGGTGGGCACGTCAAGTCTCTTAAACGAGGTGCAGAAGGCACTGAACCGGGTAAGGCTCTAACACTTTCATACTCCCTTCATGAATCCATCTTAAGTTTTCCCTTGATGTTTTTTACTAGTTCCACTCTTTTACAGGCTTCAATACTTCATCATGAAAGCTTCCTCCGGTACCGCTTGGAAATTAGCCAGCTCGAGTTTGAGCTCAAAGAATAGGTCCGGAAGAATGATATGTACATGCTTTCGGAAGAGAATATGAGGCACTGAAGTCCAAATTGGACACAACCTCTGCTGATGCCGATGAAATGGTGGCTCAGTACAAGTCTGAAGTGGAGGCAGCCGAGACCCGCCTAAAGACAAAGGCTGAATACGTGAAGCGTCTATCCCAAAGAGAGACCCTCGAAGCGATTCACACCCGAGGCTTCGACCTATCGGCCAAGATCGAGGAAGCTAAGAAGCTTGAGGCCGAGGCATAGGAGCTTTACGAGACTGAGGGTGTCAAAGGCTCCCAGAGTTTCGAGGGATCTCAGAGTTCCGACGGTTCTGGTGACGGGTTGGGCCCCGGTAAAGACCGGGCGTAGATGCCTCAGTACCTTTTCAATTTTTGTTTTTCCTTATGTATATATTTTTTGTTCATGTTGGGGGCATTTTATTGGGCCTTGTAAATATATTTTGGAATACATATATGAAATTTTTCCTCTTTCTGGCAATATCGTGTCTTTACTTTTCCATCATCTTTTATTCGGGTATTATTTTTGGTGCCTTAGCATAGAATCAGATGTAGTTCCGGGGTATTCATTTTTCGGAAGTTTGATATAAGCCCGACTTTGATGCAACTTTGTTTACTCGTGGCTTCGAAACCTCGATGCAACCGGTGGTTCCCAAGATGCTTAAGTGTTTTTAGATGATACTTTTGCCGAGGGTAACCTTTTGGTAGGTTTCGAGTTTTTGTAGAGGCCTTACTTTTTGATTACGAACTTTGGACATCTCCGAACCATTTTTAGGGCGGCCGTAGCCTTTTATATTTGGGCACCGCCTAATAGGTTTGGTGCCTCCGGGATTCATTAGCCTAGGTCATCTGAATTTTCTTCAGGCGATAGTCCCCGAATAAGGGTAGCATTTGGGCTCGATAGTCCCCTAGCAGGGGTAGCCTCTGGGCTCTATAATCCCCGAGTAGAGGTAGCTCGTGGGCTCTAGGATCTGGAATCGAAGAAGTATTAAATGTGTAATAGCAAGGCGGAACTTTCTTTTATTTCTCAGTGTGTAAAGTACATGATCGAAAGCACATAAGAACTTGTATCATGGCTAGAGTGGACTATGTGAGCATGGTTCATATGATCGTTTGGCCCTTACAATGAATCCTAACCACCAAGCCTTAGCTTTTAGCATACAAATTTTTTTCTTTTTTCCATGCTAAAACCTTAATCTGAGGGTAATACCACCAGTATTCGAGGTCGAGCTTGTGCGGGCTCGGATACTATTGATATGAAGTGAACGATCATTGACTCCATTTTGAAACCAATCTTCGAACCTAAGTTAGCACGTTTTATTATTGCCTCGTTAAAAACTTTGCCGAAAACCCCATTTTGGGACAAAACCAGTTCAAGAAAAAAAGAGTGC